CATTTATATTCCAAATATTTATCCTGTGCTCCTCCATCCCAAGTACTAAGCTTTGTGTTCTGAGGCTATCCATGGGCTAATATTTCAGACATGATAGGCTAGTCACTACAAAAGCACACCCTAAGTGGTAAAGTGGAGGATCAGTGAAAAAGAGGGCGGCCTTCCTTAAATAGATTAGCACAGCAACGACAACAAGGTAATCAAACATACCAAACTAGACGAAGGATCAGAAAGCTAGGGCAGAACTAGGCAATATTTCATTGTGTTTTAAGTGAGGGCCTGATGAATTGGGGCCGACTTAACAGCACCAGTAGACAATAGCAAGCTACGTATGGACTAGAAACTGAAGCCCTAGCCTCAGGTCTAGTAGTGTTGGGTAGCAGAATAGGGACAGGGTTGTCCCTCCCCATGCCTGAAGGCCCCCACAGAGGAGGTCAAAAGAGAATCAGGTAAGCCTTAGCTACCCATAAAGACTTTAACTGCGCATGTTCCAATTCAGGGCCCCCCGAACTCCCCAGCCAGGTGAGTGATACACCTGGGTGGCCCAAACTAGGCCAGGTGGGCTTAATTCAGCCAATGGGGTCAACCAATACCTTCGACCACACCTCCCCAGCCAGAGGTTTAAAAACCTTGGCTGCAGGACATCACACACCCCCACCCCTTTGCCTTCTCCCCTTGACCCTGCTCCTGCACCCACTTGACTGTGCCGAGGTCTCTCTGGCCACAGGTCACCATGTGTGGGTGAGTAGTCCCATGCGGTTGCCAGGGGTCAGTGGTGAGCCCCAGCGGGGCTTACCCACAGCTCGGCACGCTTCCACGAAATAGCGTGTACTCTTTTGAGACTGTAACACCTGAAACATCTTCCGTTCTTTATAAAAACCCACTTGGATCACAATCCAGGCTTCGGTGTTTCCAAAGTTGTATCCCTTTCTACAGAAGAAGAAAGCCTTGTGTGGTAGTTACATAATCCAGTGTCAATTTGTGGAGGGGTGGAGTCTAACCTGTCAATCAGGTTATATCTTGACCTCATTTGGAGGCACTAAGGAGATAAATAGCTCACTGGAGGCAGGACACACACTCCCTGGGAGACATTGCAGCTGACAAGCCACGTGGAGACCCTTACCTGCACTGAGATGCTTACAATGCCACTAGATCCACAAGACTTCCCACCCACTGGCCTGTGATCTCCCTATATTCAGCGTCAGTGCATGTGTTTTGTGAGTCTGAAGCGGACCTTATAGACTGGTATCAGGCATATGGGCTATATCAGACTTAGAGACTTGATCTGGACTGGAATGGGATGTTTTCTTAATGTACAATTACTCTTTATATAGAGCTCTTTCTTATACACCTATGAGTGTCTATGAATTTGTTTCTCTAGTCTACCTGGACTAACACCCCTTTTCTTTCCCCCATGGAGAGGCTGGTGGTTTGGAATAGCTGCCCTTACTGTTAGCAGCCTAACAGGAAACCACCAGGGCTCCTTTGATGAGACTCATCTCAGAGGGTTGCTGTGAGTACTTGGTGAGAGCGTGAGCAGGGCAGGCGTTACTATTTCCATTTTACCGGAGAGTAAACGGAGACCTAGAGGAGGAAGTGACGTGAACCAGGCCACACAGGTCACACTAAGCGCTCAGACTCTAACTCAGACTTCTGCATCCCATTCTCCTTGCTCTCATCAATGTTTTTGGGTAGGGAGGAGGGGGTTTTTCACTGGTAACTATAACTAACTTTCAATCAAAATGACCTTTTTCATACCGTGGGAAACGATAAGTTTTCAAATAAAAGGGGAAAAAATAAAAGGAGAATAATATAACTGCAGCACAAGTAGCACAGGATGAAGACTTAACATGGGTGAATTGTATGGTCTATGAATTATATCTCAATAAAGCTGTTAAAATGTTTAATATTAAAAAATAAAAATAACACTGGATGGGGAGTGAGTCATGTGGTATTTAGAAGTAGCCTGGTTTTGAGGAAGCTATTTTTTGTTGCTTCTTACCTATAAAATAGAGATGCCAGTACCTGCATTGTCTTCCTTGGGGAATCCAGGTGAGGTGGGATCTTACATGATAAAGCCCATTATGAAGCACAGAACGCCGGACAACATTATGAGGGTACTGACAAGGACTGGAGAAGACAGGGATTCTTTTTCTTGGTTTCTAAGGGTACACGAGTTTTCTAAACGTATAAGGGAATGAAGTCTAACTCCACTTGCACCTGCTCGTGAAGTCATCCATTCTCAAAATACTGAAACAGTCACTAAAACAGCGGCAGCAGGAAGTTCTGGAATAGGCAGATGACGTGAACTTGTTTCCCTGAGGCCCAGTTACAACGCAAGCAGGAAGATCCATTCTTCACATCTAGGACTTCCTAATCCATTAGTGCAACAGCTGGCCCTGAGCTCCGCTTTACCAGGCACTTGGGCCAAAGTATCAAAACCAACACAAAAGTGGCCAGAACCATCCAGACCTAAAACGGAATCCCAAGTCACACGGCACACCCTTAATCTGGGAAACAGACCTCCGCTGAACTTCCTTCACATTTTATGAAGGAAATGTAAAATGAAATGTCACCTGTTTTCTCTTTCAGAAGGGAGATCATTTCCGCTCTCCAAACTCCTGACTCATTCATTTTATAGAAATGAAACACCAATAACCAAGAGCCACATACAAGCAAAGACAAAGCATGATTTTCCAGGACCTTAAAAAGACTGAGGTCATTTTTGCCCCAATGCCTACACAGTGGTAAGCTTAAAAAAGCAAGCCAGTTATCTCACAGTCAGGTCCAATAAGTGAGCGGAAAAGAATAAATGGGAAAGCATCCCGAAATGTAACCATGGTAACATCACAGATGCGTCAAGAAATGGTGCACCCATTTGCTTCATTCCCCACTTCTTAAATGGGAATCTAAGCAGGGGGAAAATTACACAGAGAACAATCTTGATTCTGCAATTACAGAATTCTGCAAAATTGTATTCTGCCTGCTGTACTGTCACCTCAGGGACAGCTAAGGTGCAGCCAAGGGAACCTGAGAGTCAAACCATCTGGATCTACCATTTATCAATGGCATGGTCTTCCCGGGACTCGCTCATCTGTACCATAGATACTAAGAACCTCAGCTTCCAAGGCTTATTATGAGGTCAGAGCACACGTGAACTCAAGGAAGCTGCACTCTCTGACACTGGGTCAGTTACGACATAGAGGGGCCCTCTAGGACAGTGGGTTCTCAACCTTCCTAATGCCGCGACCCTTGGGTACAGTTCCTCATGTTGTGGTGACCCCCCAACCATCAAATTAATTTTATTGCTACTGTTAGGAAACAGGCGACCCCTGTGAAAGGGTCATTTGACCCCCAAAGGGGTTGCGACCCACAGGTTGAGAATCGCTGCTTTGGAGAGCATACAACTACCCCTATGGATTTCTACCCTGAGACGGTCATGCTTCACAGGAACAGAAAGCCTGGTGGTTTCAAATGGCTGACCTTGTGGTTAGCAGAGTATTGGGGGTGGGGGTGGGGGGGAAAGAAACCATCCCAGTAAGAGAATTATATTCATGTGATCTTGTCATTTTGAATGAAATTAACTAACTGAATGCCATCCCAGGACTCACACCTCCTGACCGGCTGTAGAGGAATGTCGCATTGGGGCATGGGAAGCTTTCACTACAATTTAGATGCCAATTTATCTACCCCTAGAGGTTACCACAGCTGAGATTCTTGAAGGGAGGAATGAAGGTAAAGGCACTGACTGGAACGTGGCTGGTAGGAGGAATGACATCCACTTCCTTCTCCTCTGTGCCTCCTTTCACACACAAACTTGGTTTTCTGAATCCTGACAGTTTGTATGCCTGGAGTTCTCAGATTTGGCCCAATCTAACAATCTGAGGTGCTGGGCTATTTTAACTAGTGGGAATCTTTTCTTTCTTTCTTTCTTTTTTTTTTTTTTTAATCAATTTATTGGGGCTCATACAATTCGTCACAATACATAGATCAATTGTGTAAAGCACATCCACACATTTGTTGCCCTCATCATTCCCAAAATTTTCTTGCCTCTTGGGTTCCCGGAATCCACCCACCCTCCTTTTTTTTTTAATTTTCCCCCCCTCCCCTTCCCTTTCCCCCATGCACCCTTGATAATTCACAAACCACCACTGTATCTTATGTCTTGCGTAAGTATAACACCCAACATGGCAACAATAAAGGGGAAAAGATATGGAAACCATTTATGCAAATAAAAATTCTGATTTATGCGACCCTGCGCTACGAATCTGGCAAAAGTTAGTGAAAAGGAAGAGGGACATGAAGGAAGTCCTTCCCTTTGCTGGGAGCCGTGGGTCTCCACGGAGACCAGCCTGAAGGCTTCTCTAGCTCCTGTTCACCGCCATCCAGTTGATGTGGCCTCATGAAGACCCTCTGTGTACCAAGAGCGGAGCTGTGCCACAGGGTTTTCAAAGCTATAACCTCACAAAGGCAAATCACCTGTCTTCTGAAGCATGTCTGCATGGGTTCAAATTCCAACATTCTGACCTGTCATTGAGCACCTTGCTATGACTCCCAGAAGCTCCCTTGGGCCTGTACTTTGCCATTAATGATCATGATGGTCAAAAGTAACGGAGCATGACCCCATGCCAATGTCTTCCAAATGTCTCTGTACCATATCCCAATTACTCCTCATCACTTCCTGGAAGTCAGTGTTATACTGATAGCCTTCCCACTTCCATGAAAACTTGGTTTCCAAAGAATAGAGAACCGGCCCAGCAGTGCAAACTAGCAAGTGGCAGACCTTGTTTCAAAGCACAGGCAATGAGAGCCCATTTCTTAAAAGCCCATGTGATTCACCATGCTACATGCCCCAATGTCAATTACGATTCCCTAGACGTATCATGTCATTAAGTGGGCAAGTCAACCAAGTGTGCCCAAATCCACTGTTGAGACTCCTTTTCTGATGTTGGCTTCTCGCACACCCACCCAGCCCTCAGATGCCAAAATGGGCTACTTACAAGGCACAGCATGGCGATAAAGGTTATCTCTTATGGTTTGCTGGAGCTCATGGTCAGGTGAGCCTTTCTGGAAGCGTTGGTTGAGAAAATGTCGCAGGTCCTTGTTCAGCCTGCCTCCTACAGGAAACATAAAACAGACCGAGCACGTCAACACAGGGCTTCCAAATGCTGAGCCGCCCGAGAGCACTGTGCAGGAAAGTCATTCAAAGCAATTGGAGTCAACCACCCTTAATCCTTCTGAGTACCGGCTTACTTTAGGCTTCCCTCTGCAGGGGAAGAGGCAAACAAGAAAGTAATAAAGATAAAACAGCCTTGAAATGGCATTAATCTGGGGGTCCCATTTCACATAGCACTAGAAAGCTAAAATAACAAAGAATTTAAATTAGGCTATTACATTCAAAATATGTGCCATAGACACTCATTGATGCTATTACAGAGAAAGTAAATGGCTGGAACCTTAAAGCGGACGGTCTAGCAATAGCTATCAAATTATAAAATGGTCTTGGACGGGGGATTCGATTGTGAGGAATTTAGCTTATGGAGATGCTTGCAAAAACCTGCCAACATCTCCAGCAGTGTATGCTGCGGCTCTTTGAAAACAGCCAGTCAACAAAAACAAAAGCAAAACAAAAAATTGGGAAACAGCCAAAAGAGATCAATTACGTAGAGCACAGTCCCAACCATAGCTAATGAGGACTCTGCATAAAGTCAATCTTGAAGAGTTAATATTGCAGGGAAATTGGAGAAACTGTGTATTCATGGAAGGAATCACACACAAAAAGTTAACAGAGATGTCCTCTATAGGGAGAAGGGCTTGAGTTGGAGAAATCAGGGGCAAGTCTTCACTCTTTGTTCTACTGGCAGGTTGAGAGAGTACACAGATCTTTCTATGTTCAATTGATTTTCAAACACCAAATATATATATATTTAATTATTCTTAGTTTAAAAGTAACAGTTACCTAGGGGTAACAGGATTTTGCTTCGTTTCAAGTCTTTATATTTAACAGAAGGAGCCCTGGTGGTGCAGTGGCTAAGCGCTCATCTTCTACCCAAAATGTCAGTGGTGCAAATCCTGTGGGAAACACGGCAGTCTGCTCCTGGAAAGAGTTACAGGTTTGGAAACCCTACGGATAACTTTTTCTCGGAATCTACTCAACAGCAATGAGTTTGGTTTTCTGGATACTTTTATAGAGCAACACTAAAACCAAAATCATTGCATTGTTATAAAACATGTATAGATAAGAGAAGTTAAATAACTATTTTTCTCCTCCTAAATCACAAACACAAATTATAGTCCACAGGATCAACAGAAGGCTTGTAAATCAACCTAGCTAGCATTCGCTTTGAATGGAGAACGTCCCAGTGGCTGCTGAGAACAAGGCTAAGATCGTCTTTCCATTTTTAGACCAGATGAAAATTAGGCAAGAGCATCTCTGGCCTGGGAGAAGGAGTACAGTGATCCAGTAACGAAGTGAGACACAGAATTAGTGTCTTTAGATGAGAGCATCCCCACGGTCAAAAAGAGTAAATAATGCGGATGACCATGATGGCTGAGACAGTGCTGTGCCCTACCTAGATAAGGAAGGTACTGACCTTGATTTTAATATCATGCTCAAAATAAGATTCGCTGCTACAGCTGCTCTTTCAGAACAGACTGATGAAATCCAATTAGAACTATGATACCGTATGTACTCGAGAAGAAGCTGAGTTTTTCAGTACACTTAAAAAAAATCATTTTATTGGGGCCTCGTACAACCCTCATCACAATCCATGCATCCATCCATTGTGTCAAGCACATTGTACATTTGTTGCCATCATCATTCTCAAAACATTTGCTTTCTACGTGAGCCCTTGGAATCAGCTCCTCATTTTTCCCCCTCTCCCTGCCCCCCCTCCCTCATGAACCCTTGATAATTTATAAATTATTATTTTGTCATGTCTTACACTGTCCAACATCTCCCTTCACCCACTTTTCTGTTGTCCAACCCCAAGAAGGAGGTTATATGTAGATCCTTGTAATCACTTCCCCCTTTCTACCCCACCTTCCCTCCACCCTCCCGGTATCACCACTCTCACCACTGGTCCTGAAAGGATCATCTGTTCTAGATTCCCTGTGTTTCCAGTTCCTATCTGTACCAGTGTACACCCTCTGCTCCAGCCAGATTTGTAAAATAGAATTGGGATCATGAGAGAGGGAGGGAGAAAGAATTTAAGAACTAAAGGAAAGTTGTATGTTTCATTGTTGCTGCCCTGCACCCAGACTGGCTCATCTCCTCCCTGTGGCCCTTCAGCAAGGGGATGTCCAGTTGCCTACAGATGGGCTTTGGGTTTCCACTCTGCACTCCCCCTCATTTACAATGATAAAATTTTTTGTCCTTTGATGCCTGATACCTGATCCCCTCGACACCTTGCAGTCACACAGGCTGTTGTGCTTCTTCCATGTAGGCTTTGTTGCTTCTGATCTAGATGGCTGCTTGTTTACCTGCAAGCCTTTAAGACCCTGACACTATATCTTTTGATAGCCGGGCACCATCAGTCTTTCTTCACCACATTCGCTTATGCACACATTTGTCTTCAATAACCGTGTAGGCAAGGTGTGTATCATGGAATGTCAATTCAATAGAACAAAGCGTTCTTGCATTGAGCAAGTACTTGAGTGGAGGCCCAATGTCCACCTGCTGCCTTAATACTAAACCTATAAATACATTCACATAGAACTATTTCCACATCATCCTATATAAATATATTTACATATGAACATGCCTGTATTTAGACCTTTATAAAGGTCCTTTGCTTAATTGAAAGGAAAACAGAGTGCCTTGGTAATTAGGCCAGATGGACTCTCTGAACTTCATTTTTTTCTTCTGTAAAAAGGAGCTTGTATATGATAGCAGCAATACCACAACATTATTGTGAGGATTAAGCATGATGACACAGGTGACATACTTGGGACAATGCTTGCCAAAGAGAAAGCACTTGGTGAAAAATGGACATTAATATGCAAAACATATAAATATATAAAGTATCAATGACTGTTGATGTAAACGAGGCAAGAACAGAGATGGGTCCAAACGTGGACATTTACTCTTTTTATAAATGCACATTATAGGAAAAAAATAAATATAAATTTATCCTACAGGTACAGAAATAATGTAGAACAAAGTGTAGGCTGGTTAAAGGACACATGTAATATCTACTTGTACTGAAAGTGGTGTGGACATATGTCAGTTGGTAACAAACATTTAGTGGGTGTTTAATATATTCCAGGCACTGTTTTGAAATTGAAATTTGAAAATGAAACCAACTTGTACATCACTAACATCTGATAGAGCTGCCAACTCACCTCTAAGTGCAAGGCACTCTGGAATTTAATTAAGGAATAGCAAAGTTTATCAGCAAAATTGTCACTGGGTTATATATATTCCTCTTAGAAGATTACAGTTCTAGACAATATGAAGAGACCAACCTGTGGAAAACATTGCTATATGATCCAGATAGATATATACAATAAGAAATGAAAATCGGTAAGCAAACCAATGCTTGTACACAAATGTTCCTGGTAGCACTAATTACATTAGTCTAAGGGTAGAAAAGACATCAAATGTCCAACAACAGAGGAATGGATAAACAAAATGCAGTGCACACATACAATGGAATACTACTCAACAATAGAGAGAAATGAAGTGCTGATGCAGTCCACAACGTGGAAGAGCCCTTATGGAAGCAGTCAATGGAAGCAGTCAGTGACAAAAAGAGCAAAAAGGTTAAGATCCCACTTATATACAACATCTACAGTAGGCCAGGGAATAAAGGCCCAAGTTTATGAGTGGTCTCCAGGGGTTGGTGAGAAAGATGGCGAAAGGAAGACACAATGCTGAGGGAACACTCTGATGATTGATTAACTCTGAGAACAGATAAGACTGATCAATATAATGCACGTATTGAATGTCACTAAATTGTACAAGTGACATTAAATAGTGACAATATGCTCGCCATGGAGCCCTGGTGACAAGTGGAGCTGCTAACTGCAACATCACAAGATTCACCCACTAGCTAAAGTGCGAGAGGGCGGAGGCTGCCGCTCCTAGCAAGACCCTCAGCCTTGGGAGCCGAAGGAGGCCTTCTATCGTGCCCTATTGGGTCGCTATGAAGCAGAACAGACTTGAAAGTAGTTAGGTGTCTATTTCTAATTGTACAAGTAAAGAGTACTCGGATGGCAAATGTTTAGTTGTGTGTGTGTATATATAGATATAGATATAACTATATAGATATACAGCAATACAAATAAAGATGGCGAGTTATTATGTAAGTTATGAATAGCAAAGTTGTCTGTAGGTCCATAGACAATCAGACACACTGTAAAACCAGGAAAAGAGAACCGACAACAGTCTCCACTTAGTGTCACAGTGACCCGACAGGACAGTAGAACTGGTCTTGTGGATCTCAGAGACTGAAACTCTTTTGACTTATTATTTTTTTCCCTAAGTAAAAAGTAGATTTTAATAATGAGTTTAAGTTCCCTGCTTTTCATAAATCAGATTAATGTTTAACAGTTTTATTAGCACTTCACCCACAAGTCATACAATTTAATCGATTCAATCATATTGAGAAGAGTTGTACAATTGTCAGCACATTCAATTCTAGAACATATTCTTCTTCCTTGTACTCATGGTGAGTCATGTCATTTTTTTCTCTAATTGTGGCAAAAATATACACAACAAAACATTCTCCAATTCGAAAATGTCCACAAATAGAATTCAGCACCATTGATTAAACTCTTCATGTAGTATAACCATTATTAATGTTCTTTTCCAGATCATTCCACCACCATTAGCATAAACTCAATGCCCTCTAAGCAACACCTTTTTCTCCTTCACCCACGGTAACCACTGGTCAAGACTGTAACTCTTTACAGGAGTAGAACCTCTTCTTCCACCCCTAGAATGGCCGGTGGTTTAGAACTCCTGACCATTTGGTTAGCAGCCTAATGTATATGAGTCAGAAATGACTCTTTTGCAGTGAGTTTGTTCAAAGTTTAGTAATTCTTCCCCTGAAATATGCCAGAGGCTCACACATCCTTGAGGATCACACAAGGTCACTGTCAAGATAAATTTCGG